CATTGTTATCCTATTATCTCTGAGATAATGTGTGATATGAGATTTCTCTTAGATAAGAGGAGGCACACTGCTTAAGGCAGCCGAGATCACTGGCAGGAGACTGCTAAAGCTCAAAATCCCGACGCCATAGCTCCCATGAGAAAGACTCCTCACCTCAATTGGCCCTTGTGCTAAAAACCACTAAGACAGAAAGAATGTATAGAATGTCTAATGGATAAATAGATGGGTGGAGCGAAAGAGACAGGCGGAGAGATAAAAGAGGAGATAACATGGATGTCTGCTAGATGGAGTGATAAGGAGAGAGTGAAGTAATTTCAAAGGCAAAATTATATTGTTTTTCATATTACTGTCTCCTGATTGCTGTCTCCCGTATTTGAATGCGTGCCCATGCTTTGGTAATTTGCATGTACATTAATCATTTTCAGTGAGAAATGAACTGCCATGGCTGCCTGAAGGCTGCAAGGGGAAAGGCGGTGAGAACGGGCTTCTTGGCATCAGGTACTCGGCTCAACCTGAATATACTGCCTGAACCCAACCTGGCTCGGGCTGCAGGAGGCAAGGGGAGATGTAAGGTGCTCATAATCCTACACCATAAATCTGTCCAGCATGCATCATATGCTCTCATTTTGTGAGTGTGTGTGTGTGTGTGTGTCGCACTCTCAAATTACTCTGCTCCCCTGAGCCAAGACGAAGGATAAAATATGAATCAGCTGAAGTCTAGGATAGTTTCCAGTCTCTCCAGACTCCCCGACTATCATCAAGTAACACAAGCATGCATTCCTACACACACACACACACACACACACACACACACACACAAACACACACACACAAACAACAGACACACTCCGAAAGTTTCAAGTCTCCTCACTTCATGCTAAGCCTCTGTCAAACACACTCTTTGCTGCACATTTGACATTCATATCTCTCATATTTGCCAAGTGTCTCTCTACTGCAGCTGCCGGAGCCCATGCATAGTGACAGGATTACGAGACTCTGTCTGTCTCTTCACCTATAAATCAATTAGATAAAGTGATATGATCCAGCCCTGTTATAAATACGATATGTGTTCGGTGCCTTTACAGAAGATAAGGCTATACATACACTGTACCTACAGAGACATTTTCCTTGCACTTCTCTTCATTTCCCTCACATGCAGTTCATCTTTCCTTTTCACTGCCCCGCAGTCGCTGTCACATTTCTCTCTCTTTTTTAAGCTCCATCTCGCTGGTTTGTCGGATTTCTGTCAATAACAGAAGCCCCATGACCCCTTACCCTGCTGGCCCTGCACAGACCGCTACCTAAAGACACTTTATAAATAACAGTCTAGTCACTTTGGATTAAACTGTCTGAGTGACTGCCTGGCACCCTCACCGACCTGCTGCGCTACGTCCTGGCATCTGAGTGCCCCGAGCGCTGGAAAAAGCCCTGCACTGTAGACACATACGGGGAAAACTGTGTTGTACATTATGTCAATCAGAGACGGACAAATTCCACTGATTCACAGTAGTTGCAATTGCATCACAGATTTCCTATTTAAAAATACTTAATACACCAAAAGCGTCTGAGTATTATGATTTTATTTTGTATCCCATAACTACCCATGCTGACATACACAATAAAGCAACCGCCTCCCCCCTCCAAAAAAGCATAACAATGGCATTATCTGAGCGCATTGAAGTTTATGAACTTCTGGGCGCCTACAGGGCAATCCACACACCAAGTTCCCTTTAAACCCCACCATTAGAGGCATTATGAAGTCAAGAGCGAGACTACACACCATTCTCTGCAGTGACATGCTGTCAGACCAATCAGCGGGCCCAAACACACATGCCTATAGAAGCAGACAGCCCCTCCCCCTTGCACTAGCCCCCACAAAGACACACACAACACTACCAACCCTGACACTTTGTTGCAATTGACATGTGCTTCTCCCACGCACGAATGCAGAATGCATCCACATGCACCCGTGGATGCTCACACTCAAATATAATTAGCTATGAAGACATAAAATGCAACCGTACACACAGGGTTTCAGTATCAGTTGCTAACTTTAGTTCAGGATCCTGGAAAATTTTTTGTGTTGGATCAATGTAGTTACAGAGCACTGGAAAATAAAGGCCAATGAAGCTTCCACTAATCTACACTGCAGTTCTGTCTAGCACTAAAGTGGAAAGAGTTCACAAGTACACAAGCTTCACAAGTACACAATTCTACGTAACCTTCCTCCAGTAAGGAGCTGATTAAGGAAGCCATGACCTCAGAATACTGTAGCCTTCCTAGAAACCAGAAGCCATTAGGTATTTATAGGAGCTTAATGGTGCTGTCTAGGTGTACTGGCTGTCTACAAGCCATCATCAAGCCAGCATCAAATCCTTTCCAATAGGAGTCATGGCAGCATAATTTACAACACGCAATCTGCTTTTCAAGATCATTTTCCTACAGCCTCCGCCGCGTATGGTCCACGTTCAATAAAGTGTTTCAAGAGGTTCCTTTGCTTTTAGTTGGTCATCCCCTGCCCACAAACACCTCCAAACCCCTGCCCACAAACACCTCCAAACCCCCACCCGCAAGCCTCCCACGCAAACTGCCAAGCTATACCACTTAATTTCATTTTATTTCATCAGCAGCTTACCAACAATTCTTTTATCTTTTTTTCCCCCTTCCCCTGCCATGACAGAAAAAACAGACTGTTTTTCATCAAATGCTTTGCTCGTGCATGATGTTGTTGATTGAGATGAAAATGTAGTGGATGATACAAGTAGTGTTTTCCAACATGCAAATACTGCTGTCAAATATAATTGCCTGATATGATTTAAAATCACATTTGTGAGAGTGCACCTGCTTTGTGCATGTGGGGGTGGGGGTGTATGTAGTGGGTGGGTGCAGGAATATGGATTCTGGTTCATGGACTCATTCCGGACATGTGACCACACATTAACCATGTCAAAGTTAGTCTTACAAGTTGACTTTACTTGCAGTCCTACTGTTAATCCCTCATAAAACAGATAATGTTTTATGTGTCCACACCCTTTTAATTTCATGACTGCCTTAATGAAATAATTTGCAGATGGATTTCTGTTCATGTAGTGCAAAAATTGACTTGCCGTAGTATGCAAAAATTAAGATTTATGGCCCTTCTGTCTCACAACTAACAAAAAAAAAATATTCCACTGCGCTTCATTATGTATTCAAAATCCAGCTAATTCACATAGGATTCTTATTTTACGAGACAAGTTCACTTAAAAGTTGAACACATTTATTGCACGAGAATGGGTAGGCGGTTGCATCAGAAATTAAGGTTTTAGTGTACATGCACGTATGCTGCTGAAGGATAATATTCCCATCAGCTGTTTGTTTGGTTCCTGTAAGTAAGCTGCACATGTGACTTCTAAGTGTATGTTTACATTACCACTCTGTCTGTGACCAAAACCAGGTCAGCCCTGATACTGACATTATGGCTGCCTGCTTTAAACAACTTACCTAATCCCCCATCATTACCTGGAATGGGCCCCATGTCTCGCCTTTAGCCTGAAATAGCCCAGGACCTCAGAATGCCAATGTCAAACCCCCTAATTTGCAGTTTCATAAATAGCAGACTGGGACTTTGGCGCTAAAGATAAAGAGGCCCTGTGGTTGAAGGCTCTCTTAGTGTGAGTGCAGGGCTAATGAAACAAAGTCTACCTGGAGACACACCTTAGCAGAGTTCAGTTTAATGGGACAGGCTTATGGTGTCAGTCAGGTGCTTGTGATTATGTCTGAGGCCAACAGAGGAGACTCTAAGTGGTGACAGAGTTTATGTTATGCAACACAACAAGTTTTGACAAAAGACCGATACCTCTGAAAGACAAAAATATGAATGCACGTTGCTGCACATATGCCATTACTTTAGTCTTTGATTGTATTTGATGATATGAATGACGCACCTAGATAGTTCTGGATGAGTAGGAATCGTGCAACGCGGCCAACTCAATAATTCTTCCTGTAAGTATTTAATGAGATAAAATTAGCAATGAGCACTAACAGTCTTCTCAATAATGGGTTTATGAGGTCCTCTCTAAATCCTGTTCTGTGGTTTTGCTTCAGTAAAATACAGATATCCTGCAGACCCAAATATGATATGATGAACAGTCTAGTCATCAGATTCTGAGGACTGACGATGCATCTGCTATCATATTGTACACCCTCTACCTTCTTGCCAATGACCATGGAAATACTAGCCTTTTCAGTTGCAAACTTAACATCTAGTCACAGAGTCTCAGCTCAGCAAAGGTGCATCATCAGGACATGCACTGCTGCCCTGATCTCCCTACCTCCTTTTCCCTGTCCTCAGATGGCCATAATGAATAGAAACAAGATGAGGCTAGGAGCAGATAACATGGGCAGATGTCCAGGAGGTTACTCTAGGCTCTCAGCCAGACAGGCAGTGGTGGAGGACTGTGGTCAGTTGTGAACACCCCTCTGAATATTTACAGCTGACCTGTGATCTCCTACAAGTGTCCCTCTGTTGATTCCTGGATGGTTTAACTGTTAAGTAGAAGAAAATGTGTACCGACTATTAGCATGAATATGCATGGAGCAGTTTGTTCTATTTAACTGCTCACATTTATTCACAGCAGATATGAGGATAAATCATTAACCACTGTGGTCCTGCTCCTGGTGAAGGGATGTCATGCACTACTATCATGAGCTGCTCTGTGCAGCTGGGGTGAGCAGAGCCTTGTTACACACAAAGCAAGTGACTCCACTCCAGTCTATTACATTCTGCCATCTATGACCCATTAGAATGAATGACGGCAGTAATGAACTAAGACAAGATAACGCATGTCACCATTCATGCGTAACCGACACGGAATCCCACAGTGGCATGCGTAGCCTATGGCACCAGAGGTGAAATAATCATAATGACTTTGTGAATAAGAATAATACAATACTATCACTAGACACTGTGATTAACACGTCAAAGCTCCATCATGCTGGCCGTGTGTTTTATTCCTTACCTTCCAGCCAGCTGAGCTGTTACTGTCGCCCTTATCCTTGAAATAGGGCACATAACGGACCATCCAGTCGTATATCTGTGACAGCGTGAGTCTCTTTTCTGGGGTGCTCTCAATGGCGCGGGTAATGAGATCCGCGTAGGACTGGTTCCCCCACGCGTTCCGCCGCGAGGATTTGGCTTTGCGCAGCGGTCCGGTCACATCGAGTGCCGCGCCAGCCAGGCATGGGTGCGTCGCGCCTGTCGGTGCCGGGGCGCCGGCTGGATGCTTCAGCTCTCCCGGTGTTCCGCCCACGAGCCCCGCTCTACAAGCCGGGACGTCCTCCGGTTCCACCTTGATGTTGGCCAGTGGGAGACCCCCGCTGACCTCGTGTCCACCGGGGAAATCCTCCGGGCAAGGCAGCGGCCAGGTGCATGAGCGAGGCCGGCTTTGCGGCTCGAAATCCGAATCAACCTGATGAGCGTCTAATTCGTCGTCCTCCATCATCAACATTTACCCTTCAGTTGAAATGGAATAAATCAAATGAAAAGCAAGGGAGGGAAATACCTCCACGATTTCCGTATGCCACTGTCCTTAATATCACTTCACGTTGAAATTCGCTTTGTAATACGGCTATTAAGCTAAGACAGTCCGAATCAATAGGAGGCAATTCAACAGAGTAGAATGATCATGATGGATACAAGAGAAATCACAGCTTCGCGTGGAGAGATAAGAGAAGTAATAAAAGTAATAATAATTTTTCGTCCATTTTACCTGAAGTAAAAAAAAATCAAGTGGTGATCAAAATGCTTCTTATTTAACAGCCCACATCACCTCAAGACAGTCAGTCTCAAACGCGTGTCAGAGCCAGTCATGGGGGCTTTTCAATTCAGTTGCAGCAACAGATGATATTTCAGATAAGGAGCATATTAGCAAAGCAGTCGTCGATAAATCCTCCAGAAGACAACGGGAAGAATGGGGGAAAAGAAGGGGGGGAAAATCGCCAGGGCTGTGTAGAGAGCATCCACTGAGGCGATAATGCGTTATTACCGTGAATTATTAAATCTTCCAGTCTGCGCGGATTAAGCTGGCAGCGGCACATTCAAGTCCATTCAGCCTGAACAGCACCCAACTGTCTGCAATTATAATGAAGAGGCGTGCGCATGTGACGAATCGATAAATTCCCAGTCTGAAAAATAGAAAGAAAAAAAAAATAGTCCAGCAATCAAATCTCGTATCCACTTGTCAGGAGGACAAAATTGGCTTTTATCACACCTCCTCTTGTTCCCCTCTATCCCCCCTTTGCCTTTCTCACTCTCTCAGATCCCACACATGTTCTCATTTGCTTACAACTCGTTCCGTCGATGTGAACTGAGGATGACGCGCCGGCGCTGTAGTGAAGATGCTGCCAATTGGAGTGCGCTCACGAAATCAATACTCTCTGAACGTGATTACAGTGAAATCCCGAACTCTCTCTCTCTCTCCCTCTCTCTCTCGCTCTCGCGCGCTCCCTCTCTTTCTCTCTCTCTTTCTCTACCATCTCTAGTATGAACGCAGGGAGCAAAACCCAAATTCTTAATCAAAACTAATAATGATCTTTCTGGTAAAGAACGTCACGCGGCGCTTTGTGTGCCAGCCTCAACGTCCAGCCGCGATAAGACAACGTGAAAGCCACAGACTGGAGAATTCCTGCACAATCTCGGCGCGGGCTTTTGTCTGTATTAAAAATACAGTGTCTGATCTGGTAACAAATTGTCCCGTGCACCGTGTGCAGCGTCCAAATGCCCTCCAGGGAGAACTCGTGGTGTGCAGGAGGTTTCACCTCTGCTGATTATTTGCGGGCTATACCTCAGTGAGTGTAATTTTCTGTGCCGATTAGACAGATTTAGTACAGATTAAGAGAGATTAGGTAACCCTAGATTTTAATCCGGGAGGAGTGAGGTGAAATGGGGCTTTTCAGAGGCCAGAATGAAAAAAAAAAATCTTCTCCAGCCAAAGTAAGGAGAAATAAAACACTTGAATCTTATCATCTCAAATCACATCCTGCAACCCGCAACGCCAGAGACGCAGCTCTGGCAGACACATCGCTGGTCAGACCCGTGTGCGTAATTCTGCTACACTGACCGAGGGGGGGGGATTCCGCCCCCCCCCCCTAAAGTCTGACAGCAGGGCGGGCACACAGTCACAGGTGCTCGACTCCCATTGGCTCTTGATTTCCCTGGTAAATGCTAATAGACTTAAAAATAAAAATCTGGGCTGGTAGCTTCACACTGGACCTCACCTTTTCACCTTTTATCCATCCAGAAAAGATTTGCTGAGCACACAGGCTATTTTACAGCAACAGCGTGCCTCACATTTTTATGCACATTTACACCTGTTATGTTGATGGTTGCTGTGGGGAGAATATTATTTATTCATGGACTTTTACAGACAGTCCTACATTTACACTCTAACATGCAGCTAGAATTTCTGATAATATTTGGGAGTTAGGCAGTCATTCCATGCAAGCATTTTATTAGCCCATGGGTAATCAGTATGACCTATGGGGGCATGTTGCTGTGAATGCATTGCAGTCAAAATATTCAACAGCTGAATAATAAATTGTCTTCTCAACGTGGAGGTGTGCATTCTCAGTAGAGTGTGCAACCCTAAAGAGAGGATTCTACTCAACGTACTCTAACTTATAGTAGTTGAAATAAAAAAAACCCCTCATATTTCAAGCTCCTGTGTAGGAAGGTGGCTAAAATTCTCTGCGGACCCCACCCTTTTCATGCTAAGTGTGCGTGGACTGAGGCTGTACTTAAAAGTTGCACAACATGGCCACCCTGTGCACTCAGACATGAGTGATGTTGAGAAATTTGTCAAAAATAGCACACTCTTAAATGTGGGAGGATGTGTCATAGTGTGTCATGGAATGACTTAATGCTGAACATCAGTGGGATCACATGGTTAAAATGCCATGTTGCTAATAGTTTGCGTATGTAAAAAATCTACAAACCCTATTGCATCTATGAATTTGAGTAATGGGTAATTATTTATTATATTTTCATATTATGTGATAAGAGTAACAATCAAAGCAATGCCTTTCATACTCTTAAGTCTCTAACACAAGGTTGTACTTGTTCACAAGTAAAACTCCTGAACGCCACAATTTTGGCGACACTTGAGATTACATAATGTGTCTTCATTACACATAAAGTGAAAGAGAAGTAATTGTGAACATCAAGAAGACAAATGACCAGATCAAGAGGACTGAATCTGCAGAGAGAGGCTAGACTTGGTAAGAGAGGAGAGGACTCAGACAAACAGTGAAGAGGAAGGCCCAGGCAGCACAAGTTTAAAAACTACGTATGTGTTCGGTTCCTTCCAGGCTGACTGCTACGCTGTCCCCATACCAGACATTCCAGAGGCAGCGTGGCTGGCTTCGGGCTCTGAGTGGCTGATCCTGGAACAGCATTTTTTGCACAGCAGTAATCACCTCAGCCAGCCACAAGCAAGGCTGAGCACCACATCAACAACAAGGCAGAACTTTGTCTGTCAGTTTGCACCCTGAAAAAGTTCTCTGGAATTTCATTCACATGAGGAAAAGGGACACATTTTTTCCGCTCATTTCTGCCAGGCCCATTCTCATTTTCTTGGCCCTGCCACTTTAGCCATCCCCACGCAACCTCATGATGTTGTGCAATTTATCCCTGCACCTCATTCTGCCCAGTGGGATTAGGATAAGAGGAAGCTGGAGAAGCCACAAGAACACCCATGGGAGATCGATGCCTGTCTGGGAAAACACCTCCCCTGGTTCTCCTTCCCTCTCAGCAAACAACCCACACTCTCTAACAAGCATATGGGCTCCCAATGACACAGGAAGGAGAGGGCTCAAATCCAAGTATTGGGAACGTTTCTGAGTAGGCGAAGCTGGATTTCACCCCTTTGTGGCATTGTCCCAAAGCAGGCTGACTTAAAGACTTCCTGCCCGGAGCAAGAGCCAGCTTTCTGTGGCATCTTGGCATCTGCGCTGCCAACTATGAACATTGTGTTCAGAGAAGCAGCACAGACAATTGGTGCCAAGAGTTTTAATTAAGACTGTGTGGTGGAATGGAAAGTAAAGGCATGTGCAGGTAATGGCTTCTATCCCCATTTCAGAGGTCTAACAAAATATGATTAACTAACACTGTCTGCCTTAGCCAATTAATTATATTTAACAGTTAAAGACCCAGAGCAACCAAATGGCCCAGAGAGGAAAATCAGTGTGTGCTCTTCTCATAACCAAAAGTGCAACAAGCTTAATTGTGTTATGATAAACTGACGATGTCAAAGATGTTTAAAGGCTGTAGGGGTGAGTGGACAGTGCAGCTATGTTGTTGCCCTGAAATTGTGCATTCCAAATCAAGGTACGAGACATAGTTCAGATTAGCTGAATCAGATTGTACTACGAAGTATCATTTCCAACAGGTGTCTACACTATAATGAATCAATTAGGCCAATTACCAGTAATAGAAGCTCTATATTTGCTGATTCCCGCTTCTCAAAGGTGAGTAGCTATGACTGCTTGCTGCTTTTCTCAGATTTATATCAATTTAAATGGAATGTCTTTAGGTTTAAGGCTGATGGTTAGAAAGCAAATACAAATAATTTGATGACATTATCTTGGGCATTGGGGACTTGTAACAGGCATTTTATGACTAAACAATCAATCAGTGAATTGGAAAAATAAGATAGACTGACTGATAATGAAATTAATTGTTTTCTACAGCCATAGTATTGATGTTGATAATTAATAGACCATTGGTGTCATGAAATTACAGCTTTTTTTCAAATTTAAGACGGATCTGATTTTCTGTATGAATTATAGAAAAAACTGAGTGAAAGGAAAATTTTCTAAATTTTCTAATAAACTAAATATGAAACAGTGAAATAGAGTTACTGCCTTGTGATTGTACGCCTCCGCAAATCAGTGAAGTTGCAGTTTACAGCCATGTCGGTCCAGACTCGTTATAAATATATGTATATAGTAAGGACTTTTTCATTATTAGCACATGAATTCTTGAGTCATGGCCAAAAACATGTTTTGTGAGGTCTGTGACCTTTGACCTTTTACCACCAAATCCTCATCAGTTCATGCTTGAGTCAAAGTGAATGTTTGTAGCAAATTTGAAGAAATTTGCGAAAGGCATTTCTAAAATATTGCATTCACGAAAATCGGATGGACAGACAACATAAAGGCATAATGCCTCCAGCCACGACTGTCACCAGTGCAGAGGCATAAAAATAACTGACGGATTGATCAAAACCTTAAATACCAGCAGCTCTGCTGCAGCACTTCACCTGACAAGAAGTATGAAAATAGCAGCATCTTTGAGACCCCACACTCAAAATGTCCAGAACTTACAACAATCCTACAATCAAGAATAATCAGTTTGATGACTACTCATGTATTCTAACCCCCCTATGAAACCGTATTCATACTTATCAGGATCTTTGCATGTATGTGTTGGGAGAGCATGTCACACTGGTCT